GTGCTCACACACCCTGAGCCGCTCGCTTCATCCTGTCGCGCGCTCTTGCGTTTGCGTCCTCGCCGCTGCATAAATTACGTTAGCGCCAGTTCATCAACTTTCGCGCGAGCAAACTTTCCGGATTCTCGTTTCGGATTATTACTGGCCCGCGCTGCGGGGTTTTAGCGTAATTGTGAAACCGCAAGCGTTTGACGTCGATAATTTATAAACTAATATTGGACGAAATTGTGCGCGCGTAACTTTTTGCAACTCGCCTCTCGTGTAATAGACGAGCTTGCGAGACTATTGTGCATTTTTTTTTTTAATTCAATTACCACGTCCCTTTTTTTTATTCACTTACCACGGGTATGAATATCTCGTAATTAGCGACGACGACGGCGGGCGATCGTCATGCGTGGCGGCGCGAGAGGTTTCGGAACGAGGGGAAAATCGACGGTATAAAACACGAACGCGCGTTACGAGGATTTCCCGTGAGGAAAATATTTTCGACCAGCAATACACGGTGTTGTTTTTCGATCTCACAGCGATTACCGCTTTCACCAATGGCATCAGGCGATCAGGATCTAGGAAACTTTAAACAATGTTAAGTATACCTGACTCTACAAAAGTATAAAAGATGAATTCTTAAAAATTATTTTTTGGAGAAACCAATAACGTAGTTAAATAAAAATATTTTTTCTATAAAACTTTTGTATATTATATTAGTATCTTTAATATCACAGTAGTTCTTTATTAAAATTTTAAATGTTATTTAGAAAAAATTAAAAATAGAAGTTAAAAATTGAACATTAACATCAAGGAAGATATATAAAAAATTTCATCTTTAATTATGAATATTTCAGCTTCCGTGTGGTCAATCGTTTTCCAATTGAGCTGATAAATTAAGTCATATTTAAATTTATATATAGCGCAAGTATCAACAAATTAAAAAAAAAACTCATTACATGCTACAACTATTTTAATCAACTTCACAGCACTATCGACGATCGTTTATCGTTCTGTATATCAATGAAACGATGTTTTAAATCGAGCAAAACGTTAACGAATGTTACAATATTTAACACGTATATATTTAATTGGACTAAGGACATATTAAAAGTTACAGAAATGATTAATAATATTCGCAACTTAATAAATTATGTGTTAAAACTTATTGTAGACATGTTGTAATTTTCGTTATAAACGTTGCATAGCGTATTATTCGTGTACTAAAAGTGTACTAATTGCACGAAAAATGCAAAATTTTTTTCTTTATCATAATAAAACTTAGTTGTTTTATAATATACAACACAATATTCAAATAACTACAGTACTTTTATGGTAAAAAGGCAAATGTGCATAATATCTCCAAGTAAAATTCTGAAATATTAATAGTAGTAGTCCCGTCATAATCTCTGTATGGTCCAATATTGCAAACATTTTTATTATGATTTTACTACAATATTCTCTCCGTGCATATCGCCTTGTTTTACTTTTGTCCTCTTGCGATAAAAAAACTAACGCTCTTAGAGAGGTTCGCCGTTATCCAACATGCCACCGGAAATATCAACGTTAGGCAGATCAAATTCTGAAAGTTTAGTTTTCTATCGGGTGAAAAATCATAAGAAACGATTCCTCTAGAGATACCATGAACGTGCGAGAGAGAGAGAGAGAGAGAGAGAGAGAGAGAACCTCGCCGTGTGTAGTTCGGAGATTCCTCCTGAGATTCGAAACCACATTACATTACGGAGATACATCGCCCGTAATATTTATCGCGACGCGTTATCGGACACGTCGCGTTTAAATACCCTACGATAACGACGTGGAAATTACAACAGGTGCATTTCCGATCGAGAGATCGCGTCGAGCGCGAGGCACGTTTATTATCCCGATGATCCCGTTTATCTCGAGAGGCTTGAGATGAGACGACGAGCAGGGAGAGAGCGCGTCTTAGCCGGCTGAAAAACCGCGTCGGCAAAGTTGATTAGTCGCGCTAACGAAATTTACGCGTCTTCAAGGGAGTCGCAATATCGAAACGAAGCGGGGAGTGCGGACCGACAGCGGGGGCGGACGGCGGCAAGACGCGGGGAACACGTCGCACTTTAGCCAAGGGCAAACATTAAAGCTCCACAAACTGCTCGCGGCAGGGCGACGGGCCTCGCAAGCGGGGTCGGGAGGCGCGCAAGACTAAGCGCAGCCCCGGTCGTTTCCTGGATGCTTCCGCGTGTTTGTCCGCCTCAAATACGTGCCTTCCACGATGCGCCGCCGTGATGGTGCTTGTGGGGGCGCCGGGGAAGGGGAAGGAAATGAAGACGAGAAGCGGTCGCGCCGTGCTTAGCATCGTTTCACGACTCTGAAATACGAGCGGAATCAATTCGCGACGTGACCATCCCCCGTCGCGATCGCGCCGGAAGCTACCATTAAAAATGCCCCTCGCGAAAGATAATAGGGCTACGCTTGCCAGTTCGAGAGGGAAAATTGAAACACGCTGACATCTTCAAATTCACGTTGCCTTTGACCGCTTCGCGACAGTGTGCATTGCCGTGCATTGATAAAATTTTATTCCCTAGGCATAATAATATCGGAAATTTGACGATATTAGACGCATCATTTCTGAATATTCGCATGTCATGACTACTGCTTTGGAGCATCCTTGCCTGTTCGCGGAGTAATCAGCAATCATGACGCGCGAATATTCAGAAATGATAATTCGAAATTTCCGATAGCATTAATGCACAGCGCTATACAATTAGCGATTTCCCGTGGATTATACAAAATTATCCCGTCCCAACTTCCCCCGATACCGACTCTCTTCCATCTTATCTATAATAGTCTTGTGAAAATTCGTGTTATTTCCTTGCAAATAACTATTTTTTTCAAATATTTGAGGATTGACACTACCGGAAACTATGCCTCAAAAATGACATATCGATGATGCCTAAAGGAAATTGACAAAAATATCAAACAAAAGTACCGAAACTATATTATTTTATATCTTTAAATGTTGTATTTAATGCATATTTTAATAAATGTTTTAATTTTACAATGTATATTGCTCTTTTATTATATTGAAAGGGATTATCTGACTACTTCTTTCCAACCATCTTAAACAAACAAACAAAAAAGTAAGTGAAAATCAGCCAACGGTATTTTTAATTGTAAACTATAAAATAATATTTCACAATAAAGGTATGTCGGTTGGAAGATCAGTAAACTCATGTTTATTGGTTTACGGAATAATCTAACCTTAACTTTTCTTGCTCAGGAACAGAGGATAGATATTGGCATAAGATTCAATTCGTTTAAAAAGTTCAAGGTTCACACTATAACATAGCATTATCAAATAAATTACTTACCGCTGGTATGCCACTTTAATTTTCATAAAAAGCAAAAGCTCAATAAAAACTTCAGTACAGCGAAAAATTAAACGATGCTAATAACATAAGCGAACGCGCTTGTAGACAGAAATTGCCACTTCAGCTTCAACTACTGTCAACCAACACAGTGGGCAAAGTTCTGTCCGACACAATTCAGTACTTTACGGATATAGAATAAATTTTCGTGCTAATTGCGCCACCCCGAAGTTATGAAGGTATGATTATGTTGATTTTTTTCTTTTTGGTTATTCATTCGTTAATAAGCAAAATTTCAATATAACGCAGTTTGTAATTTTTATCGCTGCGTGTAACAAAACGCGATAATTCACGGTAATACATCAGTTTCGGACGTAACGTAAAGCAAAGTAAATATCAGCATACGCAAATTCAATTTTTGGGCTCATAAGTATAATATTTCTCGGTTCGGCGGTACCAAATCGCGCCGGATCGCAGGAACAGCCGCGACGGTGAAGGAGTAACCGATAACGAAAAATCAATAAGCGTAACACGCACCCACGTTTGTTTATCTTCGCCCTAAATATTCCGCTCGTTCGCGTTTAATGAACACGCTCACCGCAGAATTAATAAACCGTTCGTGCGTTCGCGCGCAAAATAGCGAAGTTCGCCGTTTTTCGTCTATTATCGCGCTTTATCGAGGCCGGATTTTCTACTGCGGAAATTGAACACGACGACAAAGCGCGAAAAGAAACGTCTCGTCAGGGAGCTTTCGACGGGAAGAGATAAATAGCGTGTGAACGGAGTTAATTCACGTGACGTTGCCGTCAAATTCTCTATAACCCGCTCTTGCTGAATATTACATTTTCCGTCGACGTTTCCGGCGAGAACGCGACGTCGTCGTCCTCGTCGTCGTGACGAGCGGATTAGAACCGGCACGTAACTTCGATATAGCAGGGTGCCGTGAATTTCATAATTCACGGAAATAAACGCGCACACGCGACTAACGGCGTTACAATTAATAACTGGCTTGCTCGACTACGTGCTCGCGTATTTCGCACATGTCTCCTCGAGACTGCACGCGTTTTCCGCGACGTATTTTCACGGTGAGCGCTTACTTTCGCATTTAATCTCGTTAAAATCGCAATTCCGCGCATTTCACGTGTTCATTAATATATCCGTGTCTTCTGCGGCAAATACGATTTGGCATTTCCCGTCCCGTTAAATCCGATCTGAGACTTTCGCGATATCCACACTACCGAGAATCGCGGGGAGATATGGGCGAAAATAAATTAAACGAATGCTCTTGAGACGATTATAACGGGACGGTTCTTCTTTTCCTCGATTTTAAGACGATTATACACCATTCTAGTGGTTCTTAGTCGCGCTGGAGCGATAATAACGAGCCGCCTTAAGGTATAAGTAGCATTAAACGAGTACTTGAAGAATTCGTTGAAACTTACTTAACTATACATAGATTTAAATAAGACCTAATTATCGACGCAATTCAAAGTAGATCGACCGTAATCCGAGGTATTCGCAACTAAAGACAACACTTTTCATACGTATTCCTCAAGATTAATCGCGGCGAACGTTGTCGGAAATATTCGTATTCCTCGGTACGACGCGTGCTTTCCATCGCGCTCGACGAGAATAATCAATGAACGATGGCGGGATTTATTTTTGCAGGCCGAACCGGCGTTAATGTACGACAGCGTACAGGTGTTCGCGGTGGGATTACGCACCCTGGAGCAATCCCATGCTTTAAGACCCGCCAATATCTCCTGCGAGCTCGAGCACCCCTGGGACGGCGGATTATCTCTCACCAATTACATCAACTCGGTGAGTTTTCATTCCTGCGTTTCCCCCTGTGCTGATACGCAATTTCGATCATATGCCGTACAATGCGCGCGGATTATATGTTATTATTAATTCGGTAATTATATATGGAACCGCGTCGAACGCAGTGAATTTCAATCGTGCAATTCTAATCACTAATATGTACTCTTCCGCGAATATATCAGCGAAATAACATGGTTATTAACGGCCGAAGGAGAGAACGCTCGATGGCGGGCGGGGAAATTGCCATTTCCATAAATGCACGCTCGAGATATTCCGGGAGGAAAGTCTATATATTCATTCTTACCGGGCGCGACGCGCTTATCCGCGCCACGAGGCCGCGATGTTCGCGCCATAAATACACCCGTGGGACGTATTTTAATTTTTCATAACACCGTTCGCATACATCCCCGACAATATCACGGCGCAGCCAGCTGCCCCCCCCCCTCCCTTCCCCGCCGAGACTTCTCGCGGGAATAGGCAGCGTCGAAAGGGAGAAAATCCGCGCCAAGGACTCCCCCCATCGCTCTTTAACAACACCACTCGCCAGATCCGCCCAGAGGTGACACCTCCGAGGGGGAAGATACGTACTGCAGTGGCTTACCGTAAATTACCGCCGGTAAAATCTGGCCGGAGTCCAAAACAAACGATATCCGATATAGTGGCGCGCACTCGTTTCCGCTCGGTTCGTGCAAATATTTAGCGCGAAGGAAACATCGGATATCGCCCGATTCTACGTGCCAAGCACGTAGCTGGGAAGCAACGCCTCGGCTGGAAAATCTCCCCCGCTCGCGATCCTTTTCAAGCACCAGCGGCAGCGTAAAGAGAGAGATCTTGGAAATATCTTACATTTCTATCTTCATCTCATTTCGTCTTTGTGAATTCGCGTTAATACACCGCACACTTTGAGGCCAACAGACGATCACAGGTTGAAACAGGATGTACCAGAATGTTCGGAATATTTGAATACTGTGGGGCAAAATCATTCAAGCAAATTCATCATCAAGCAAAACTCGAGTTGTTGAATTAAGGAAGTTGTAAGGCGAGATAATGATTCAATGAAAAGATAAATGATTCAGTGATGAGAATTCAATGAAATTCGCACTACGTATACATTGAAATATTATCTAACTGCAGTAGGAAGAAATTGGCCATTCGAGAGCTAAGATATTTTTAACTAAAGTTAGCGTTTTTTATACCTTTATATTCCTTGAGATCAGTGTGCTATTTTTAATATCTATTTTTTTTTCAATTTCTCTTATACTAAAGAAAAACTACTATGATGTTAAAGATTACATGTGATATGCAAACATTATACACAAATTTCAAAATTATTGACCATTTTGTTTCGAAAATGCAGCGGTGTAAAATTTATAGTAGTGCTGGGAATATACGTATATGTACATATTTAAATACTTATATACCTCTCCCTCCCCCCAATATTCGAATAATTGGCCCGACTGGCATAATCGACGCGTGCTAAGTTTACGTTGACAGAATACTCGAACGGCTCTTGAGGTGAAGTGGTGTTTTAGACGCACTGACGAGTCGCAGCCAGCATACAATTTCAATTTCAAGAGAACATCGAGAATCGGTGGGGGAGGAATGCGTTTCTATAAATTTCAATCAACGTTTTGCGCGCGAGCGCATGTCACCCGTACGAGACACAAGCGACGTAACGTATAGCACACAACGGCGGATAAATTGTTTAATACCATGATGGACGATTCCAGAGCTGTCACAGACAGAAGCCACAAATCCTTCCGTGATGCTGTACTTCCCCTTTTCAACCTGTACGACATTCTTCCCGTTCCCGTGTCCGACAAGGCGCGATATTCGGCTGCAGTGTTTCGAGATTGATACTCGCAAGAAGACCGCGATATTGTTCTTTCATAAAGCATATTCCGTACGTATAATACATTTCACGCGACATTTGTACTTTATATGCGAATCATTACTCTCGGAAATAACGACATAATTCTGTAATAACTCTGCGGCTGACTTTAAATCGCATTTCAATTATTTACTTCTGTCGATTAATTTAGCGTTATTATCGCCAGCGATTGCTTTGATAAGGAAAAATTGGACAATAATAATATGATATGCACACAATTCATAATAACAATTAATATCCTGCATCGTGAAATAATTTTCGATAATTTCGCACGGTTTTTGTAACGCAAGGGTAATCGCGCGATTGACCTTTTCGAAGCGCGAGGCGCACTAATCGAATCTCTTTTACACACATTCGATCCAATTTTCGTGATTTTCGATCCGGCGACCTTCGTTAAGCAGGAAGTCCGTCGTACTGTCTGGACCGCCGCATAGAGTTCAATTTTCCCAAATTGTACAGACTTTCGTAACCTGGTGTACGTGACTTTCGCGCTGCTTGTTAGGAAACAAAAAGTTCGCACGGTAAATGCGCCGAGAGACCATTGGAGAATTTGAACGCGGATAAAGCAAGAGGGATGAGAAAAGTGGAGGAAACAGAATTCGATGTTGAGAGACGGAGTAGGAGGAGGAGGGAGATGGGAGGATAAAGGTAAGAGAGAAAGAGAGGGAGGGAGGGGGGAGAGAAAGCGAGAAGACGAACGGGTTCCACTTTTGCGCAAAGAAAAGAAAGAGAGAGAGAGAGAGAGAGAGAGAGAGAGAGACGGAACAATAAAAATTGCTCACGGATATCGTCGTGCCGGGGAAGAAAATGATAGCCGTTAGTAACTGCGCCTTTTTTGTTGCGCGGAGGGAGGCTCACTCTCTACTGCAAATTAGTCAAAGCGCCACGGTGGATGAAAGGAAACGCGCGGTGAGCCCGGTAACGCCGACTACAGAGCTAAACCAACCGTCGCAGCGTCTTGAGAGCACGGCAAACATCGCGTGCTCTGTCTCCCTGTCTCTCTCTCTCTCTCTCTCGTCCCACAAGTGAAATAACACCTCACATCTACTTCGGCCAAGGCGCACAATGCACGTGCACGCATTTGCGGCGCGACGTCTTTGCTACCTGCATTCATAATTAGTTAAGTTTGCCGGCGTCTATCCGCGCAGCTGCAAGTTCGTCCTCGCAGCCGGCATCCTCTGCGCAATATCTCTCGCTCCCGACTTCAAACTCGCGTCGTCTCCGGCCGGCCGGCGATCGAACACCGGTGTACACATCTTACGCGCGGCCATTAATTTAATACCGCCGCGACGGGGATTCCAATATCGAGCCCTCTAATCGACCCGAAGATATTCGCGCCGGTCCCTCGGCATCGCCGTCGTTGGAATTCCGGCATAACGTCAGGCGCGCCGGCGGAGTTGGATCATGACGCCGCGCCGAATATGTCGAAATTGAATTAGTGGCGCGGCTCGCGCCGGCCGCGCGAGCACCGGCGGTTCGCCGCTCGGATACGTGTCCATCTTATGTACGACGAAGCCGATAAATGCCACGTGGTGCGCGATACGATTCGCATAAGCGGGCAAGAGCGGAGCGGGTGAACGCGAGCGATCGGTCCTGAATACACATTCGCGGGTGAATGCGGCTATCACGATACGTCGGCGAGCGATACCGCAGGATATAGCGCGAATGACGTGCTCGTCGCTGAATATTCCCGTGACTCCGGAATTTCCTAAAGATAAGAGCGAACGCTTCGGAGCCCTTAACTTATTGAATTCCTCAGACACGCCGCGCACGTTTAACATTGGCCGACCTCGGCGCCGTTGCCTTTTTTCCACGACGTTCTCATCGAGCCGCGAAATCTTCGGCGGCGGCAAGGATACGTGAGATTTATCGCGATCGGGAGGGAAAGTTCTCCACTCTGTTGGCTTCCTTCGAAAAGCGGTCTGGAGTCTGCCAGTTGTTTAATTTCAACCTTTCGAGAGTCGCAGGTTTTGAGGAAAAACACGCGTATCTTCCAGGGGGGAGGAAGAGTGTTGCTAAAAGACACGTTTCTACTGTGCACGGAGGAAGTAAAGTAGGTGTCATTTCTTATAGGTTTTGAGACAACGAAATGGAAGTGGAGTTTGCTGTATATCGACAATATTTGCGTTTATCGTGCGTGTTCAGAAGAGAGCGTACGGTCGAGAGTGGCGACGAACTTAACCTTCGATGCACCTATAATGTCCCATTTCCCTACATAGTCGCGAAAGCTCTATGTACGACAGGGTTAAAGTCGCAAAACTACTTGGCGCTCGTCCAATCACTTTTTACAGCTGGATTAGCTATTTCGCATTGTTCGCCCCCACCCGCCTGTCTTTCGAACATCTTTCGTTCGCAGTGGATTTTGGCACGCACGGCGCATTCTTGTTTGTCTCGTTGGCATTATCCTACTTCCTTAGCCCGATTTAGCGGAGCATCCCCCGAGGCAAGGGCGAATCTAAAGTGGGTCGTCCGATTAAAATCCGTCCACTCGCCAAATTTACCATAAATAACTTAAACGAATATTGCGCGCGACGTAATCCGGACTGTTGAGGCGCCAAGTAGCGGCAGTCCGAGTTTTCGTAAACTCGTAACAAGCTTTTTGCGTAGCCCACTCGGCGAGGAAATTTATGGCTAGACTCAAATATATATATATATATATATATATATACGCGTATATATCCGCACATTTGTACTTGACTTCGTTTAATTAAATCTTCAGCAAGCGCACATTCTATTTAAACTTAACACCGCGGCTCTGCCTTGCGCATCTCTCGTTTGTACAGACTCACTTTCGAAATATTGTACATCTCCGGTGACTCGTAAAGCCAAAGAATCGCGCTCGTGAAGCCAGCAAGATTATAACAATCACGCATAAAGATATAAAAAATATCGCGTCTTTCTTTTCTTTTCTCTTTTTTTATTCTTTTTTTTTTTTTTAGATATACTATAGAAACATGATTTATCCTAAATATATAAAAATGAAAATAAAATAGAAAGAAATATTTCCAGAAAAAAGTTGTAGGGTTTGGAGGAGAACATACTTTGGTAATCTTAACTTCGTTGTATAGTCAATAATTCAAGATCATTTCAAGCTCAATTTCATTTTTTT